ATGTTAACTCAGGCTCTGCAGAACCATATACTGATAAACAATACGTTAAGTTTGATAACACTAGACTGGTAAATAGATGATCTATCTCATATTGATTATATCCTTCTTTCCTTAAACATCTTAGTATGTGTAAACATTTGTTAGCTTTAATTAGCTTATTTTTAACATGTATGCTGAAACGACAATTACTCTCAAAGGTTACCCCGAGRATGGTTAGGTGGTCMCACTTAGGTATACCTGCAATGGTACTAAAGGAACTCYCATCTACACCCTTCTTACAAATGACTAGCTCTTTACACTTGCTAGGATTACATGACATTGAGTTATTATCAGTCCAGCTTAAGAATTGATTAACTATATCATGTGACAGATCACAACTATTATATATTGGAGATATTAAGGTCGAATCGTCGGCATACTTCATAATGCAAGACTGATTATCAAGTGTAACATCTAAATCATTAAGGAATATGATAAATAGATAGGGTCCACTGACACTTCCTTGAGTTGTGCCTTTGTTAACTGCTTTCCAATAACAAAGGGTGCTGCTCAAAACCACTCGCTGCTCTCTTCCATTTAGGTACCAATTGTTCAGGTAGGTATTTAAGCCTAATGATCGCAGCTTCCTGRCCAAAAGATCGTGCTTTACAGAGTCAAATGCTTTACTAAAGTCCATTGCAAACAAGCGGACGGCTTTACAATGTTTGTCATCAAGATGTTTACATACCTCGTTTTGGATGGATAGCAAGGCATTCGAACAATTACCCCCTTGACGATACGCAAATTGGGARACGCTCAGATTCTTCTCTATAGTGTTCTTTACATAGTTATGGTATACAATTCTCTCAAATGCCCTTGCGATCACAGGTGTTATGTTTATTCCACGATAATCCTGATAGCTCTTTGGAATATCTACTTTTGGAAGGGGCTTGATAGTGGATCTTTTTCAAGATGTAGGCCAGGTTTGAGACGACAAKGACAAATTCCAAATTTTCGTTACAACAGGTGCTAAGATTTCTGCATGGTCTTTCCAAACCCAGAACGKGATACGATCTGGCCCTGTAGCAGTGTTCTTTAGATGTATAAGGGAATTCCACACTTGCCACTCTGAGAGCTCTGGTATATCATCATTAATATCAATATCGACATTAGGAGGTTCTGTATAAGCGTTGTCAGTGCAGAGGCTACAGAAATAGTCATTCAGTTCATTTAGTTCTTCATTGGAAAGTGATACATTAGTTGTAGATCTGAGACGTTGAGAGGTAGCGTCAACATGTTTCCACCAATCACGACTTCCCACTTTCTTAGGACGGATTCGTCTGTTCTCGGAGATTACTTCAATGATACGCTCATTAATACTGTTTAGACGATCTTTATTGTTTCTGGATACTCTTGATTTCTCTCTAAACAAAGATTTTAATAATGGAGACATCCAACCAGGGTCCCGTGATGACATGCGGACAGTCCGTATAGGCATATACCTATCCATTAAGGCCAGGATCGTGTTTTCAAGTGTATTCACAGCACCATTGATGTCATTAAAGTTCATGACGTCATCGAAGTTTACGTCATTTATTGCGATGTAAAAGTCTCTTTTGCGATGTTTCCTAACGTCTCGTATTTTTATATTTTGACGGATCGGTTTAAGTTTTGAACCGGCAGGCAAGATGACTCCTTTATGATCCGTTTTCATCAGTATTTGAACTGGGTAGCATTCATTAAAAAGATCTTCGCGGTTMGTTAAGCAGTTGTCCAAGCAGGAGTTGCCCCTTGTTGCGAAATTAACAAGCGGTTTGAGACCAGATATAGTTTCCAGAGTAGWGAGATTTAATTGGTTCAAGTCTCCTCCAAGTACAAATGTCATGTGGGGATCTTGATCTAGCTCCTTGTCTAGAATTTCAATGATATAGTCCATCAGATCACATTCCTTGTAGTTGAATTTAGGCGGATRGTACAGGCCACAAACTAACATGTTATGACCAGAGGGTAGTCTCAGTTTCAGATACATAAGTTCGTATAAGCTTGAACGGTAGGCATTAGTAACGTTCAGATTACTTCTGATGTATATGGCAATGCCACCTTTGTTACGCATGTCTTTRCCGGACCAGTTTCTGTCTCTTCTGTAGATCTCATAGCCGGGAATATTAACTACTGAATCMGGTATATCTGGCTTTAAGTGAGTTTCGGATACAATGCACATATCGATGTCATAATTGTTCAAATCAGCCTCCAGTGCAACAGCAGCTCGAACTTTTCTCTTAGTTTTCGCTAGACTACATATGTTTGTAAACAAGAATTTAGGAACGTCACAGTATGTTTACATCGGATAACGATGCTCAAAAACAGCGGAAATTTGGACCCATTTATATTGTCGACTAAAGTAGAACTTCAGTCAATCGTGTTTTGATATATATCATGTATAAATGATTGCTCATGTACATTTTATTTGATATGCAGTCACTCTG